AGTTAGCAAATAAAGAGCTATAAAAGTTTTTACTGCTTGCTTAAAATATTTTATGTTTTCTTACTGTATTAGAATGCAGGTAGTTTCAACAATTAAAGATTCTACAATAAAAAGTGATTGCATAATTATAGCAATTTTTTTGAGCAAAACATTTAAATGTGCACTATATACTTTGTTTTTGCTTAAATTGCGACAAATTTATATAAATCATTGTAATTCATATATAAAATATATAAATCATTACAATATATAAAAATTATTATAACCTAATTTAGTTTGTTATAAATTTAAATTATGTATATTTATTAATTTGAGAAAAATGAAAAAGAAGTAGTTACAACATTCTAAGAAAATAATTTACTTTTTCAAAGTAATTTAAAAAATGTTAATTATTATAAATTGAATTTTAAATAATGGTTTTTATATTAAGACACAGCATTGACTAAGAAAATGATTTAAAACAATTTTAAATTATGTTTTTTTAATGGTTTTTTTATAAAAAACTGATTTTTTATTTAAACCAATAAGTTAGTCCAATCTAATTAAAACATTTTCATTTCAATTTCATTGTCTTTAGAAAGAAACCAACTTGCAGTGAACCACAGTAATGGTCAGGTTTGAAATCTCCCCACATCAGATTTTATTATATAAATACTTAGTTACATACATGATAAAAAATAATTGATTACTAAAAACTTCCAATGAAGTGGGGAAATATATGAAAATCAAATTAAAAACACTTTTTAATTATACAAATTATCCATCATTTTAAACTAAATAACTTTAATTTGTTATTAAATTGAATTAAAAATTATTTTTATGACTAAAGTTTGTCTTGTTTTTCATCGATTTTGTAAAATGAAGAAATTGTGTCTCAAACATAAACCTTCATAAATTTGAAAGAAAAGTTATAGAGGCAGCTTATTTTATTTAAAATGATTTCTAAATAATTTGTTATTTTATTTATATTACTATTTTATATAGTTAGGTGTTTACATAAAAAGAATATTTGATTTAAATAGTCATTTTTAATTACAAGGTCATTAAAGTTCAGTTTTGCTCTAAACCATAAAATGTAAATTGTTCTGAATTAAGAAATATTTATTTGCTTAGATAAACCGTCAAGTTACCAGAAGATCTTCAGATGTTTTAGAAATATCAAAAGATAATAAAATTAATACTTTTGAGTTAAAGGCAAAAATGAATGGATGTATTAAAAATGTTTTGGAATTGTTAAATCTGGCATTATTTACCTTTGTGAAGATGTTTAAGGTGTAGAAAATTTAGTTAATGCAGCATATGCGTTGGGATCAGCAAGTGCAGAATATATTAATTCAAGTATTCTAAAAATTAAAATGCAAAATGAAATTATTTTAGGAGGTGAAAAAATTACAATTGCTACTCATGGCAAACCATGTAGCTGGAACTATAGACAAAAAAAGCGATTGTGCAAGTCTAACTCAAGTGTCTTTTGGAACAATTATGGAGCTTGTAAAATTTTTAGAGCTATCCCAGTGTAAAACCGAAAAAAATGTGTTCTATATTTAGAAGAAACCTTTGGTTTTAAAGAACGAAAAATATTTAAAAAATTGAACAAATATATTTAAAAAATTAGAAGTATTAAAAGCTGAAATGAATGAATATTTATTATGAAAAGAAGAAGATTTTTTTGAAGCTGTTGATATAATAATTAAATTAATGGTTTATATAAAGGATATTAATGAATTTATACTTGTTATAATCGCTGAAAGAAATATTTACCCTCTTTCTACAACTATAAAGATTGCTGTGGATTCTGGTCAAGGTTTTTTAAAGGTCGAAAATTTTTTTTAATCCACATGATAAAACTAACAACCAAACTGACCTTGATAATGTTGGAGTTAGGAGTTATTTATTGTTGCTATTGTAGAAGCAACATCTGAACACTATGGAAATCTTATGAAATTAGTTGATCTTCTTAATCTTCAAGATATTAAGTATTCTGTTGCATTCGATTTAAATTAAGCAAATTAAATTTTTTGCATTACAACCCATAATAGAAAATATAGTTGTTTGTGGTGTAAAGGAGAAAGTCTTTTGGATTGCCGTGTAAAACGAACTCTTGGTTCTCTTGATTATCTATACACTAAATATGTAGAAGCTGTAAAACTAAAATTACAGATGGTTGATCATAAAAATGCAATTAATCCAAGAGTTTTATATCTTGAAGAGGATCCAGACACAGTTATAGAGAATCTAATTCCAGTACCTAAATTGCATACATTAATTGAAATAGTTAAAGCATTTAAAAAACTTTCATCAAAACTCTGGCCTGGGTTTGAACAATGTTTAAGCTCAAATTATATATTTTTTAGAGGTTACCATGGCATTGGCTTTGATAGCAATAATGACAACCAACTTTTAAATAAATTAGATATTCTTGCTTATGATATTGCTAATCAAGAAAAACTTGATTTATTTCCAGTTATTGAATCTTTAAGAAGTTCAAAGCAGTAAACTT